TATTTTGCATATATTTAAAGTTAAAACTCCTTACAGAGAGATAAGTGAACCCATTTAGCTCCAGGGAAAACACCCTCCCATAGCTTGACCTGAGATTTAGGCCAAGCGACATGGTATATCTGCTTATTGAGAAAGGATCCTGGTGCTTCAACTGGCCATGCCATACTTCTGAAAGCCCTGCAGTTCTATCAATGAATACTCAAACCATTTATCTTCATAATGAGGGACTTCATGTAGATGGATTTGGATTCTTACTGGCTAATTACTAATCTACTGGACCGAGTACACAAATGGTTGAGAGGTGGAGGCCGTCTTAGTCAAACTAGAAAAAACGGTCTTTGAACCAGAAGGTATCACCATTCTGGAATCTACAATGCCACATAGTCCTTGGGCCCCAAGGATTTTCATACCCATTCACATCTTTGACCCTGCGAGCAAAAGGTCTCCCTTTCATACAGTGATAGGAGGATTCTAATCGTTTCGAGGCTAAGCTCAACTTTACACAATTTTTTTTCATTTCCATTTGGACACAGGTGTCAAACTCTAATCCTAGAGAGCCTGCAGGTTTTAGAGCAGTTTTTTTTTTCAAACTGATTCAAATCAGTGCTCCTTAAGCAAAGCTTTACTGTGTATAGAAGAGATCCATTAAATCAGAAGCAGGTGTTTAGAGGCAGGGAAAGGTCTGAAATCTTCAAGACAGTGGCCATCAAGGACTGGAGTTCGAAATCCGTGCAGTAGGCAACTTCCAAGCTAGCAAAATAGGAGCTAAAACTATAACTGTTAGGAGGTACCTACCCTTAAATTAAATCCCCCCCAAAAAAACTGTGGAGCTTTGCTGAGCCATGTTGAGTAGTAACTGGTTTGAAATCCCTCTTAGAATTATAGGTTATTGACAAAAAATATTGTAAAGGTCTTCTTAGAGCCTATGTTATGTTAAAAGTTCCCATATTAGTGTGGATCATTGACCACAATCAAAACTTTAAAATAAACCAAGAGTGAGACAGAGAATCCCCATGTTAATATTCTGAAATTTCTTTAAGATGAGATGAATCCTTCTCTGAAGCATTTTGCTACCTTTGAATATGAAAGGAGCTCCTGATACGTTACAGCCTGTAAAACTGAAAGCTATTAAACATAAGGCAATTGTCTGTCGGAGGCTAAACTGCCAACACTCTAATGCGTTTTTAAATGCAATGAGTCCCTGACCTTTGGCAAAGTATCATAGATGTTCTAGTTAGAGCTCATTCTCACGTTCTTCCTCTTTGTTTCTCCACACAATGACATCTCTTTCAAATACTCCTTTTTGATGTTTAAATGAGTTATTGTAACTCAGTAACTCCTCTTTCTGTTGATATTATTCATGTATTATGAATACATTTATCACAATACTGTCTCTCATCAATGGATAATTTTAAGCTGCAGTGAAGAGCAGTAGTACCCCCAAGTGATTTCCGGGGGAACTACACTGGCAATGCTCATCTACAAAAAATGTGAACGCTTGTGTTTTTTAACAAAACAAACACAAAAAAAGGTTGAAATTGATTGTGTTCGGATGTATTGGGAAAAGAAAGGAGCAGACATAGCTTGAAGTGGATAGACTAAGTGACAAATGAAGAAGGAGAGGTTAATATTTCCTCCCGATTGTCACAGTAAACTAAGCTCAATTTCAATGTGCCTTGAGAGCAAAACAGCAATGCTTATATAATGCTTGTAAATATTTTTGACTGTTAAATTTTAGCTTAAATTATTATAGTTATTGGAAGTCTGGTGGAAAGCCTACTATTCCAGATACTCCCATCATCACGAGTATCTCATTTAAATAAATAATGAAGTTATTGTTTCTTGGCCGACTTTGCTTTCTCACTGTCTCTGTAGCCATGATGGAGAGATTCTTTTCTGAATCCTTCTCTCAAACTCCCTGCTTTGGGATACTATTGTCTTCGCTGTCATGTCTGAGGTTGAATTTAAAAAAGGCCATTCTTTTAATTATGTGAAAATAATGATTGGTTGTCAACCAATCGTTATTGGTTTTGCCCTGCCTGGTCATCCACCATAGAGAATTGAGGGATGTTGCCTCTTAGACAAACTGCATTCCATCAAAAGCAGCCAGAGCCTGAGCCCACGGCTGGACTGACCGGTCAGCGCACGTGAATATGTGGAAGTGTGTCTCTCTACTAATGGCCGGCATTGTGTTTGGTATCGGCGTGTCCACATTCGTGTTTGCGTTATCTCTTAGCCACCAGCAAGAATGTCTTTTCCAGCTAAGACCGACATTCCCACTTAATCATCTTCTTGATGTTTCTGTAGAGTGAAATAAAAAGTGTACACATCGGTACATCACATGGCACCTAAACGTAACTAGCATAACCGCAGAGGATATTTATGTGCAGCGTTACCAGCTTCCCCTTGTGCTTTGCATTGATAAGACAGGTTAGTACGGAAAATGAATGCACTCCCATTTCCAGGATTTTAATGAGAAATTCTGTTGTCGCACTGTGTGTGTGTGTGTGTGTTTGTGTGTCGGTGGAAGTTACACTGTTCCCCACTGCTCATGGAATGGGAGGTATGTTGATATTTATCTTTTAGCATTATTCAATTGGTTTGGGCATCTAACTAATTTCATTCCACTCTGATTTATGTTTTGTTCGTCCTTTGTTCAAAAGATGTGGCCACTTAAATAATAAGATGTAAATAGGCTGTTTGTGGAAAAAAGGTTTAAAATAGTCAAACAAAAAATTGTTTTATTTAAAGAAATTCTGACTGGTGACCTGTCCAGGGTGTCTCTCATCTATTGTCCACTGGAACAGGCTCCAGAAAATGGATGGATGGATAAATAAAGTACTCTGCACAGTGTAGAACTATACAGTGTTTCAAAGAGTTGAACTTTGAATGACTTATTGTCAAACTTTGGAAGTCCCATTAATATTCTTGTATTGGATTTTTGACTCAAAGCCATTCATCCCTTTTCTTACATCCACTTCTGGGATTAATGGGACTTGAGTCCTACTGGCTATCGGCAAGGCATGTTCTCCCTAATATCGTGCTTTCTCTTATCATGACTGAACTTTAAGAGGGTCATTCTCAACCCTCAGGAATCAGTTTGTATTTACTTGTTTAAAAACTGTCTTTTTCTGCAGAAAGCTCCCCAATAAATGCATCCCTGTTCAAAGCTTCCAAGCAGCTGCTCATCGACACACATCTACGTACACACCTCCAAAATTATACAGATGGGGAAGGGCTTGTCATCTAAGATATAATGATGATGATTTATTCATGTTGACATGAAGCCAGAGGATGAAGATGATTATCCCCATTTGGTACGGTTACTCCCTGTTGTGGCATAAACTCACTGTCTACACACCTGAGCTGTTGGTGAGTCATCCCTGGAACTTTATGTTCTCTCCACTGTGACCTCTTTAAAGAACAGGGTGCATCTCTGGCTGGGCATGAGAACATAGTCATCCATAGACTAAGCTTAATAACACGAGCATAACTTATTGATAGCAAAATCTAAACCGTTACATAACACAATGTGTGTTGTGATAGCTATGGGATTACTAACTGCAGTTTTAATGGGATTTATTTCTGTTCTGAAATAATTTCAGAGTAATACATTTTAAATTTGATGTGACGCAACACCATCATGAATCAAATTCAATGTGTTGATTCATTCATGATGTATGGAAGACCAATTTTTTAATTCTAAAACTGCTTAAGTCTAGGGGTTTTATACAGTGACATCAAATTCTGTAACTGGCATTTTAAGAGCCCAAATCCTCATCATTTAAACATTCGTAATAGTTCTAAGCATGGCTGTGGTTCTCTTAGGGATACATGCAAAAAAGAAAGTTTCCGATTAGATTTTCCAGCAGATTGTTTTGCCCTTTTAAGAACTGACAGTATAGTACATTTTCAAAAATTAATTTCTAAACTGTGTAGAGAGAGACATCGTGCCCTATGCATTATTAAAGCAAAAATCATTGCCAGATCTAGAAGAAAACTTTGCCCAATTGGACAAATTATACATGAGGATCAATTTACATGCTCATATGCCATTCTTAACTGTGAATTTTATTCTTCTATGAGTGTCTATAGGCACAGATTGAGGCGTAAATTATTATAATTCAATTTGTAACAATGGATATCACCTTATTTTCAGTCCATTAATCTGGAAAGCGTTCTGGTACACTTTAATACTTAAATTACCCCGTGAGGTTTTAGTATTTTAGTATATTTAGTCAAGTAGGTAAGGTAGGAAAGGACTTGGAGAAAGCTTGAATGCATTTAAGTGGTTGCTAACAAGTTACTCAAGATGGATCTGAGGCCCTCCATCACACATCCATAGCTTCACGTGTGTACATGACCACAGGGATGCTTTCGTTCAGTATACCAAAATCTGTCATGTCTCTCAGTGTAAAAGTAATGTGGGTTTTTTCCCTCCATCTTCTCACCCTCTGTAAAAGCCCTCCATTTCCAGATGCAGGGCAGCACGGACACACACAGACTGCCCATAAATCCTACACAGAAGTCTGCTGAGAGAGGCCACAAAAGCATCTAACACACACACACACACACACAAACACACACACAGTCTGGAGTAAGAATTAACCCCAACACCTCACGTAGGGCCGGCTGCTTCGATCTGAATTCGGGAAGAAGAAGGTGGTGCCAGTGCAATCTGATTGGTTAAAGGGAAATGTGCAGAGAGAGTGTAGATATGATCATGGTGGTTATGGAAAGTCATATTAATGATTGACTCAAATGGCAAAGGTCCTAATAATAGGATTGGACCATCTGTGTGGTAAAATGTGTTAAACGAGTCTCCACTACTCATGTTGAATTATGGAGCTAATTAAAGCCCCACTTTGTCATGGCAATAAAACCTTAAAAGGTGGACATGTAGCTTGTTCGTTCAGATCCCAACTGGCAGAAATCTTTCATGTTGAGATTCCATATTCCCACATCCTGCGCTAAAGCAAAAACGACCCCAAAAAAGAATTGCATTAAAAAACATTCATTTTATTGTTGGGACATAAACACATCAGACAGTTGGCTTAAATAATATTAGATCAATTACTAACAATTTAAAACAGAACATTTAAATATGAGTTTTCTTGACAACATGTGAAAAATCAGTGAAAACAAAATTAGATACCAGACATTGGCAATCTTTATAGCACACCGAGATGTTTTATAAAAAAAATACTAACAGTTTTCATACTACCGAAAGATAACTCTTTCAACAGTTAGTGTTAAGAGCCATGAGATTCAGGCAAGAAAAAAAAAACTATCCTGTAAATGTAACTTTTATTGTTTTAAGTTTCCTGTCTGGTACAGTGCACGTCTGTGTTCGAAGTGTGTTGGAAAGAGTTATTGGTCAGCAGGGACCACCTCCAGGATGATCTGCAAAGTCCTGTTGAATGAATCTGCGGGGGGGGGGGAAAGACCAAAATGAAGAGCTTTGAGGAAAAAAAAAGATCCCTAAGATTGATTCATGAGAAGGGGTTTGTTGACATTGGCACACCAGCTGGGTGGCTTGATTTATAGTGAAGGCATTCATCAAGCAACCTTGATATCAATATAACTGAATAATAGTCTGCCGAAAGTAGGAGATAAAAGCAATTGATATCAATAGATAACAGCACCTCACATCACTGTTCAGGGTTGTAAACTAGATAGAAGAGAGAGGTGTTCTAGGGCATCTGAAGCCCAAAACCTTACATTAGGTGGTGATCTAATCATTTAGACACACACACAGATACAGTATTTGTTGCTTTTTTTATAAATAAAAGCCCCGTATAAATAGTTTAAATAATACATGTGGAAAAATCTGACTCAAGTCATTTGTTAAGCTGACTTTTGGTGATGTGTCAAGATATGAAATCAACAGTTAAGGTGTTGAAGATGTCAATGAGTAGATGGATCAGTTATTAAACCCTTTAATAATTGAATAGTTTTAGTTGTTAGTGTTTAGTTACCTATAGACCTCTGAAGCCACTTTGGTCTGTTGTTGAAGTAGATAAAGACGTAATATGCCGGGATGCCTGTGAGGGAAATGGCGAATCCGATGCCTGTGTTGATAGGGTCTGAGTACAGAGACAGGAAGACCATGAAGAAACACGTCAGGCAGAACACCACCGGGATGAAGAGCGGGACCTGTGGACAGACACACGAGAACTGTCAGGCAAATTTACATTTAACAGGCACTAGCTCAAAGTTGAGTTCACAAAGATTGCAAATGCACAGTCAAGTTCGTGCACATTCATGCGTTTCTATGTTTTGCTATTATCAAAAATGAAAGTGTATTAACAGAAAATATATATATTAGGTGGTGTTTGAGAGTGGATTAAACCACCCATTTGTCACTTAAAACATTTTTACTCCTTAAAAAACAGTCCTGAACATTACCCATTATGGTCTATCCATCCGTTTTAAAGCTCTATAATGAAGACCGGACAGATAAATACTAGAATACAGCCTGTACACTTTTGTAGAGATGTTTCCAAATGAAGAGTTTAATCAGTCCTAAACATCACCGGAGCTGAAAAGACAGTATATCACAGCATGATCATTAACAGCTTTTTCAGATTTCAGTGCATCTTTGCTGTCACCTAACAACATGCGGAGAAGTGCAGAATGAAACCACTTATCCCTGTACCAGGAATAAGGTGGGAGCTCAGCTATGTCTGGAAGATGAGAAAGCTGGTAGTAGCTGATATTTTCTCTCATAAGATGTGCCTATATCTGGGTGTTTGAGTAGGTGTCAAAGTTGAATTCATAGTAGTCCCAGTGTGTAATTTGTTACCAGCAAAACATTGCACTGGCACAAGTGTCGCTCACTTTATAATAATAGCTCAATTTTACCAATATTATGCATTTGTTTTGAATAGTTTGAATGTAAGAAAGCAATGCGAGGATCAAATTCTTTGATTTTTCCAGCGCACTCAACTCCATCCAGCCTCTGCCACACGATTGTTTGGAATAATAACTTTTTTTTAGTATACATATTAAGATTATTTAATAAAACTTACACATGTGATGTTGAGGAACTTACCTTAAAGGGGCGAGGGAGGTCAGGCTTTGTATATCGAAGGTAGATAAGACCCAAGACAACAACTCCGATGAATAGCCATCGCATAAAGCTCATGAAATTCAAAAGGCTGTAGATGTCCCCGACGAACAGCTGGAGAATGGTCATAGGGTACTGCACACACACACACATACACACACACACAGGCTGTGTTTCACTTCATCACTTAGAATTCTCAGTAACGTAAAAGCTACAAAACCAGAGTTTGAAGTTTATCAGTTCGAACATACTGCTATTATCTTACACTCCAAAGTGACTTTAGCAAAGAATAATAGTTTATAAATGTTCTGATTTAAAGTCCTTAACTTTAAAATTATATTTTTAATAAATGACATACAGTACATTTACTAGTTAGGGTACTTATGGTATCAATTGTGTATTTAATATGTAATATAACCTAGTGTATTTAATATTGGGGTGAACTGACCAGTATGAGGACAGCAGCCAGAGGAGTGTGTCTGCGTATGTGGATCATGGCCAGGACTTCAGGAAGCTGTCCCTCACGGGACGCTACATAGTACATTCTATTGAACAGACAAACAGGTACACATTTACATATCCAGGGAAATTTAAATATCACACCAATGAGGTAATATTGCATATTCGGGTAACTAAGTTAACTTCGCAATCCAAAGTCTCCAGTAGTCTAGTTTTCTTTTACCTCACATTTTTCGATTTTAGGGATTTGTGGTTGTTTATTCATTGCTGAACCAAAGTATTACACTTTCAAGGCTAAGGCTAATGTATCCTAAAAACTAAAACAGAAGAATTATTACCTTGACAATGCAAACAGGCAGCCATTCATAGAGCCATAGCAGGACAAGGCCACAAACACTGGCACTGCTATGGAAAACTTCCCAAAAATCCTCTCTGCAAATGTCTGAGAACATAAAAAAGATCATTAGTTGCGTCAACAAGTAAACATATATAGGTAGAAATCCATCAGATTATTGATATTTGAAAAAAATTCAATTTCTGATATAACATTTGAAGAAAAAACTCAGATTTTACTGATCAACATAGGACTCAAGATTGGAAAGTTAATTTTTTAATTTAGAGAAGTATTCTATGAGTCTGGTCCATTTGTTTGTAGCATAAGTTACTTAATCATAACTACGGCACCAGATAAAATGTGGAGATCTATCTAGTTTATAATGGGTATACCTCACCAAAACAGTTGTGTTGTCCAATTTCACTGTTCACAGGGACAAGTTGACGATTTAATTAATTCAGATTAAAATTTTAAAGTAAGTACTTTGGATTTGGAGATCAAGATGGAGTTTTCTTTAATGATACTGAATTCAAAAGTAAAGAGAGCGTACATTTTGAGTTTTTGGTGTTTTCTGACAAGCTGAAAATCCATGAATCGCCAGGCAACTCGCAGACAAACACAATTCAATCCACATTTTCAATAAAGCAGTCTTTTAAAGATGTTCTGCTTTTTTAATGATGTTATCTTTTTACTCTTCTATTTAAGGGTAATGCTGGTATCATATCGAATTCTCTATGCAACTATTTTAGCTTTAGTTCTAAAAAAAGAAAAGACTTTCATGTGTCATGATAACTTAAGACACACACAAGTCTAAAACAGTGAGTCTATAATTCTTTTGCCCTCCCATTGAACTTTAAACTTTATCTAATTTGTCTGAAATGACTAGATTTCCATCTGATACAAGTTTGAAACATCGGTCAAATTTTTAAATTAAATTTCAGATGTAAACTTCTGTCAACTGTCTGCAGGATAAAAGTACAGAGGTTAATCTTCTTATCACATTGCTGCCTTCCGACTACACAGATATGCTCTTAACACCTTTCGTGAGCTGCTCTTAAAAGTCATTTGGCAAAGGGTAATAAAATTAACCGCATTACCAAAGTGCACGGATCTCTGCTTCAGGCTTACAGTTACACTCGCAGCAGTCCTCCATCTATTAAGCATTGTTAGACGTTATTGAGGAATGTCCGTGATGTGATTAACATTAACAGGGCTGGGCTGGAACAATTGCATTAACAACTGCTGGGAAACTTGGCCTTCAGAAACTCCTCACTTATAATGACACCTTAAGTGCAAGATGGCCGCCTTGAGCTCAGAGCAGGAGTAAACTCTGGCACGGTGCTCCGAATGGCCAATTCTGCTTTCTATAGCAGAGTTAAGGGGAGTTCTGAAAGAACTCGATGGCTTTTGCAATATAAGTAAATTTAACATCAGATCAATGAGTTTCATTTGAATATACTGTCTTGTCTTTTTATGGATTTTTGCAACAATTATGTGGCTTTATGAATTATAACATCTTACCAATATGATCAAAGCCAGAGAACAAAAATGCTAAATTGCCAAATAATTCTTGAACACAGATCTCAAGATGGAAATTGGTCCAAAGTATGGTCTCTCTATGAACTGAATCTACCCAAAAATGATAGCCACTTACGTTTAGAACCTTATTCTGGTACCAGAAAACATCTTTAACATAATGGAGATCTTTGCATTGTTTTGGTTCGACTGCTAACTAAAACTAAATTGATAGCCCATGATACCACCATGACTGCCACCAAACTAGTACTTTTTTTGTTGCATTGTTATTCTTATTCCGTTATTCTAACAGCTTCTTCTGACCAGCCAAGGATTCACAAACCTAGAATCACTTAGTATTCCAAGAGTGTCTCGTCTGGGCACAAGTGTTCATTTTGGACCCGAAGACCTGCCTTTGCGGCTTTATTTTTCCACCCCTGGCCCCCTCACTTACCACTGCGACAGACTCTGAGGCCAAAAGCTCCTCAGCTGACATGACAGTGAAGTATGCGACGTTGGTCAGAACATAGCAGGAAGTCACAACAGCCATGGAGATGCAGATAGCTAACGGTATCGTCCTGCAAGCAAGAGAAAAACAGGATTTGTTGTGCACATGGCTTGCTTGAATGCTAATAGGAGGAGGGAAGAGATGTTCATCTGTGATATATCAATACTTCTATGCATTTCATAAAAAAACATCACATCCACAGAAGTGGCATGACTAAAACAAGCAGGACGTTGAACTTACTTCTCGGGGTTGTCTACTTCCTCCGCCAAAAAATTCAGGTAGAACCTGTGATAGCAAACAGTTATATTGTGTCCACAAATCAACAGAAGCATCACATTGTATACATTATTTATGTATCCTTGTAATGATGTTTGAAAAAGAATCCGGCATGCCCATCACCTTATCGTACATTTGAATTGTTTTCATGAATTGTATTGTCATTAATCTAATTTCTGTTAAAACAGTGGATCTATAACAGCTCGTTACAGACCTTAATATTGAGTGTTTTTTCAGCTAAGCACTTTTCATTTCTCAGTCGTGTATCTGAGTAGATACATCTCTGAGCTCTGTGCGGTCTTACTGGCTATGAGCTTTTGAATAAAAGGCCGGTAGTCTTCTCTTCTTGGTCTTTCACAAAATTCTGCTATGTTTGCGAGGCATGTTGAGCTCTGTGTTTGGGTGTGTGATTCCATTTGCGAATGGGTGTGGGCTGCACGTACCACCCGGCGTAGGCATACATCCCGGAGTAAAAGGCCAGCGGCATTCCAGACAGCTTCACTTTGCTCAGCTCAAAGGCATTCTCAAAGTTTGTGGTCTCCCCTACAAGTAGACACACGCACCTCAATTAAATACATATTTTCTCCGTGTGGGTTCTTCTGAAGCACTGTAAGAGCTCCAGGGGGGAAAGGGGTTCAGGAGGCTATACTGATGGTCAGAGGTGCTCAGTAACGAAGTAGAACTACTTAAGTACTGTACTTAAGTACCAAAATGCAGTATCTGTACTTTATTGGAGTAGATATTTTTTCCCCTACTTTTACTCCACTACATATTTTTTATCATTTCAATACTTCTACTCCGATCGATTTTTCACGGGCTGAATCGTTACTCGTTACTGAAATGTAAGCGTAATGATAGATAGCTCTGTCACGGTTTGGGAAGCTGGCTCCTCATTGGGCGATTTGAACGATCAAGCATAGCCTATTAAAAAAAAGCCTCCCGAAAGATGGTTAATTATAACCTTCAGAAATTCCCCATCTAATCTGAAGACGCATATCAAGCTAAATTAAAAAATACAATGAAATATAAGATATTAAATAAGCGCTAGTTCAGTTCTCCCTGTTCACTCAGGACATAGCAGCTAACGTTAGCTAAAGCCAAGCTAGCCGGCTAGCTGTATGCTACATTGCTAGCATAAAGGCTCAGCTCAGGATTCTGAATAATAAATAATAGTAGATGAAGTGCTGTTGATTGCTAATGCAGATTATACACAGTACTTGTACTTTCGATAGTTGAGTAGCAATTTTTTAAATACTTCTACTTGCAATACTTAAAAAATACTTTAAAAAATGGAGTACTTCCATACTTCCACTTAAGTATGGTGTTGAAAGAATTTTTTTTTTTACATAGTACTTGTACTTCTACTCCAGTACTTTAAACATCTCTGCTGATGGTACATAAAGTTCCATCAGTACCATCAATACAACAATTACAGTTATGCCCGTGAAGCAGAAAAGCCAGGTTTAAAAGTTATTTCGTTAACTGAGAGAAGACCCCTAAACATCTGCCCGGAGGACATTGTGAAATACCCAAACAAACGTGCTGGCTGTGAGCAGCTGCGTGCTACAAGCCCGCAAGCCATCAAGGTCAGACCTACAGCGCACATTGTCACGTGCAACTAAGAGAGACGTAATCGTTGTTGCAGCTGAGCGCTCCCTAGGAGCTTTGGGACGTTCATTACTTACATTAAAAGAGGCACCGGATTTTCCGGTTCGGCGGTGGCCCACTGCTAAAGGGGGGAAACGGTTTTTCACAGTGAAAATGATGTCGTACCTTTAAAAAGCAGGTACATCCCAGGCACCACGATCGTGGCAATGGCCAGCAGCTTGCTGAGGGTGAGCAGGATCTGAATCCTGGCTGTCCACGTAACACTCATACTGTTCAGGTACATAACCGAAGCTGTGCAGGGGGAGAGGCAATTTAATGGCCGTGATCACAGGTTTAGTCTTCATTACTTTTCCTACACACACCTTTTTACTAGGATAGCAATCATCAAATACAGGAGGAGATATTCAGCTACTTAAAAGAACCACAATATTTGTGATGCTTACATAATCAGATGAAAATGAGATTAACAGGATGTGCAAAGCGCATAAGTCCTGTGCTTAGCCAATGCGATAACACTCATAAGGAGATCAGGTTTGATTTACTCGGTAATAAAATGCCTTCTATGTAAAGCTGTGAGCTTATGTTTGTTAAATAATTGATTATTATTGGATTGCAAGAAATAAAATACTGAAAACATTAGCATGTTACATGAACATTTAAGAAGAAAAACAAAGGAGGGAAAATCTGTGCTAATTGGCTCTAGCTGAACTGTTTGTTTTTGGGTATAATTTATCAGGATGAGATGGGCTGCATTACATTTACTAATAAAAAAAATAAAAAAAATAAAGAATAGAAAATAGAAAATAATAAATAAATAAATAAATAAATAAATAAATAAATAAATAAATAAATAAAAATTATTTTAAAAATTTGCTTTTGATTTTTAAAGAAGCATAAAATGTTTTATTGTGGTTACTCATATTATTCTTGGCCCCAAAAAACTGACACATTTGTTTTTTGCTTATCCAACCCATGCAAATGAAGTGTAAACAAAAGAACAACACATGTGAACTTGTCAGCAGAAAAAAGAACGAAAGAAAACTGTGTCATAGCTTTTTGCCCTGATAGGCTCTTCAAATTGGTAATGCAGCAGTATGTACTTATGCCGATGGCTGTGGCCAGTTTGACAGCCATGGGGGGGGTATCACACGGCATGAACAATGGCTCCAGGATATGCTGTCCGAACGCCAGAGAAATGACTGCCAGTGCTGCTGGCCTGCAGAACACAACACAGATGTATCAGTTCAACAACCTGTAGGGAAACCAAATACCATCAATCCCCAATGGATTTTCTGCTATCTCCAGAAGCCATTTAAACACGTTTTGCCCATTTTTAACACTAATATAGTCACGAGCGACCGCCACTGTAGGCTTTACAGGATTGCACTGCACAACCCTGTATTTGCCATCTTGTCACCTATGCCGGTTTTAAAAATGAAACGTCAAATGAACCCTATTGTCCTCCTCAATCACTGACAGACGCAGAGGTACACAGAAAGCTAGTGTTTAGCAGCTGATCAGGTGTTAGTGGAGATGAAAAACAGTGAAAGAGAATGAATATTAAAGTTATTTGTCATCTGACAACAGCCTCCGAGGTTCTGTGTATTTTAGAAATGGATTCTCGAGTCCCTAATTTACTATTCACAGAGTAAACATTGTCTAATTGTGTTACAGCAATAAGAACAGGAGAGTCGTTTTATCTAGTAATGCCTATTCCAGGGTAATGCTACATATATTTAGGGGTATGAGGCTTTGGATGGGTTGATATATTACAAGTAGACTATTTCTGGAATATTTTTAACTCATTGCAACATCCACAGATCCACTGTAAATACAATTTATTCCTAGTAAGGTCACATGGTTTAATTCAATAAGCCGTTTCAGATACCATACAGCTCTTTTAAAGTTAGGTTTTAGCTAATATCATGAAGCTAATAGGTGTGTGTTATGAAACATGTTCAGCTTCCACCATCCTTGTTCCATTAATCAAAACCTCGTGTGGCAGACTGTGAGCCGGTTGTCTATAGGACTAGCTTAAATGGGATTTAAACCACGGTTGGCTGCTCCCACAGGTTGATCTGGTATCTTATCAGAGAATTCCTTTTCATTTCCACAGCAGCCAGTAAGGCGCAGCGGCCGAGGCAATCTCTCTTTGTCCTCTCTCGTTCCTGTTTTCACTCTCTGCCTGTATCTTTGTTCATTTCCCATGGTTTGCCGCGCGGTACCGCTAGCCAGGGGCCATCATTAAACTGGGCAGCTCAGGATAGCCACTAGACTGTTTGCACTGCTCTGGTTCAGCAAAGTACACATTCAGCTGCACAGGGAGCAGTTTTTTTTTTTTTTTTTCCCCCTCTGATCTAATCTCAGTATCTCATGTGAGGTTACAGGCAAACACGGCCGTTCATTTTTCCTGGTGCAGAAAATTCTGTCTGCAGTACACTTTAACATGAGAGTGGTAAACACATGCAGGGTTTTCTTGATAAAAATTTTCAGATTGAGTAAATAATGATGTACTTGAGGGCATATCTTCTCTTTATCTTTCGGGCAATGAGACGACACACGCGCAATGATTTTCTTGCCCTGTCCCGTTGTGTTTGCAGGGTTTGCTTCCAATATCTCAAACTTTGGAGAGAATTTAGATAAGCCCCTCTATTTAGATGCAAAGGGGTTGTTGGTTTACAGGCTGCGAGTCGCGGGCCACCAGCAAGCTCCTGCCCTTTTCATATGCCGGTCACTGCTTATTGGTGCAAAAAAGACCCCCTTGTTAAACTGCAGCTGCTCCTCCTGGGTAACTCCCAAACATTCACCCTCTGGTGAGGGCGGGCTTTCGCACATCTAGCCGACATCGCGGTGTGACAGAACCGTTTCTTCTGTCCACACTTTGACGTGAGGAAGCAATGAAACCTGTTCAGCTTTTGTCACCGGCCGCCTTGCATTGTTGCCTTGTCGATTACACACAAATTACACGCCAGTTTTCAAAGGTTTCGAGTGGCAAACAAGTATACAAGCAGGTAATTTGTTGTATATGTGGTAAAACACATTGTGGGACATGCAAATGAATCTAATTTGTTTACATATCTTCATACGTACATCCTTAGTACTTTGTTAGCTGGTCTGACCTTTCTCATATATTAAAAGTGAACTCCTTGCTGGTGTTAGCTGGCAATCCTATTGAGAGCTTTTGAAAGTTATATTGAAAAGCCTTTACCTTATTGCAATGAGATCAGCCCAGAGTCTAATGAAGGCCATCTGAGGTCCGAACGCTTCCAATATATATGTGTAATGTCCTCCTGACTTCTTAATAGAAGTCCCCAGCTCGGCATAGGAGAGGGCTCCTGCAGAGATAAAACTGATTTATTCATTCTGGCTGTATTAAAGGAAGGCCACACGTTAGTCTGTCACAGCTGCAGGTATAGAAATGCACAGTGCAAAGCCTCTCGTCTCCTCACCATGACAACTTATCATTTGGGAAACCTTTTAGACACAGTCCATAAGTTGAGAAAGTGATATTCAGGTAGCTGACTCTTCATGATGATTGGAGGCAGCAGCAATTACAGAGAGCTGAAATGGGCTAAGGGGCGGATAATCGAGGATAAAGTGTTTGGCGCTTTCATTACCGCGTGAAAAATAAAGGATCCGAGGATATTACAGCCATTTTTGGGCCGTTACAGTACACACAAGTGTACGGAAGTGCCAAAGAATTGCCTCCTGCCAACTTTAATCAAATATTTTCACACTGCCCAAATTAAAGCTCAATTCTGGTTTTGGAATGAACTGGGGCTGCATGACGGTGTGCTGCTGGGAAGCTGGAGACGAAGTTACAAAGAGCACAGTTCATATCCCGAACTCTCCACAGCTTCAGTAGCAAAATCCCTGTAACTTAATATGATCAATCTTTACAGCAGTTTGGTGTTTTAGAACTTATTTAATATCATGAAACACCCATAGCTCATGTTTATGTTTAGATCTACATCCATTGTTAAAGTTGAACATGCCTAGCTATGATGTCCAGTCTATGTATACAGTACCTCTAATCAAACCTCCTTAATGAGATCAATCATACTAATGAACAATGGTATGCTTTTTCACAACATATATGACTAAACATTTGTAAGATTATCACATAGATCCACCTTCTTTTTTGGGGCCCTTCTCCTTATTTCAGCATTTCCATTAAACTGCTTTCTAAGTCATTTCATAAGGCTTTGAATGGAGACGCGTAAAGAGAGCTTGCAGGTCTCCAACTGCATCATGGCCAGTTTTATTTAACTGGTCTTTACTTGAAAGTCCTCAAAGCGTAAACCATAAAGTAAGCTAAAGGGGATTTTAGAGGTAGTGTGTAGATTTGAGTGTATGGTCAGAGCATCTTGACCAGGGGTGTTGAACCTGGTTGTCCCTCTTCATAGCACATAGTATCCTGATGAAATGAAAATCTAATCAAAAGCTCTGCACAAGTCTATTAATGGAACATTGAGGAGAATCAGGTGTGTGGAAGCAAGGAAACCTCAAAAACCTGGAGGACATGGGCCTTTGAGGACTGGAGTTGGGCACCCTTGACCTGGACATCAAGTGTGGTCTTCAAATGACCATTGAGGACCGAGGCATGGTAAAACAAGGGTTTTTGTGGACCTTGCGGGCACAAGAACCGGAGCATCGATGGCCATATGTCTGCCAAATGGTCCTGGTGTAAACTTTTTATTTATTTCTGTTCTGTTGAGCATTAACTCTACTCCCTGCTCCATGTCTTTAGCTGCCTTCTGTCCCTTCTGAGCAATTGGAGTTGTTGTTTTTCTTATGACATCCAAATGTACTGATCCTGGGAAGCAAGACACACCCGCAGGAACATGTTTCACCTGTCTTGTCTTGAACTTTCCCATCATATTTTCTTTAATATTCTTAAACATAGACTTTCACCTACAGTACATCAAGTCTCTGCATGTCTCAAGGAACAACTAACTGCCAGACTTTGATATGAGGAGGAAGCCGTGCAGCAGTTGGTGAGGCAGACCTTTTAGTTTTGCAGTGGGGCTGTTTGGCTTCAAACCTGTACGGTTTGTGAAATAACAATGGCAATGATTTTTCTATGGAATTGTATCATTACAGAGTAAGATGGACTCATTTCATTGGGTTGACTCTTGCTCAGGATGCTTTTATATGTTGACATGCAACCTTTTTTTGTGGAATCCCATGTTGCCCAATAATGGGATCCACACTTGTGACTCAATCAAAAAGCACTGTAGCTTAACGGCAGGTTTAGTTTCAGTCCTACAAAATGATAAAGTGCTTACTTTTTTTGTAATAGTCGCATTTAAAATGTCATCTCTCAGAAAGAGCCCACCCATATACCTGGAAAGCTACTCACCAAAAAGTGACAGCACACCACAGGCGATCCAGACTATGAGGGACATTCCCACACTGCCCGAGTGCTTCAGAATTCCCTTTGGTGAGATGAATATTCCAGCTCCGATGATGGTCCCGACGATGATGGAGATGCCTCTCAGAAGGGTCACCTTTTTCCCCAGTTCCACCTTCCTGCCGTCCTTGTCCTGCAGTTCCTTGTTGGGATTGCTTCCATTTTTGGAAACTGTAAGTACATCTTTTCCTTTTTTGTTAGATGTAGACCTGTTGTTCATATTTTTTTAAGCACAACCACTCTTGTCTTTGGAAAACTTGATTAGTTCCTGATATGTCTTGCTGATGAAGCCGGAATTCTCTCAGTCTGCTTGTGACTGGACAAGGTCACAAAACTCGGAGTAAAACTATCCTCAGAAAAGGAAATCTCACCTCACCCCTATATTGTCATTCATGTCCTGTTCACAAATCTGTAACTGTATAGCCTGCATTCAATCTCTCTGGCATCACCTAACTTTTTCCCTCTGTCCTTTCTCTGTCACTCTGCCTTCTAACTCTTTGTCATCCCATGTTTGTATTTTGTAGTCCTTCCCCCACCCCTGGTTAGGTCCTGCCTCTTTCTAAAAAACAGCTGTGGCTCACCAGGGTGAGATGTTATGCTATTTGCATGGTAATCATGACATAGCAACTTGTTTTGCAAGCCATCCCATTCACAAGACTCCCTATTTCTCAGCTACCTCTCCAACTTTTCTCTCCTTAACTCCTGAAATCATCTTTGTAGTTCTTTTTTTAGCTCAGTATCTTGATTGGTATGACTTGTACTTTGATAGTTTTTAATTGCTTGTACCACGATGGAATAAGCTGGGATCATACACCAAGTGATGTAAAATAATGAAAGAACACACTACAGATCTGTGAAGTGGAGCCTCAAAGAAAGGGATCAAACACACATCTTTTCAGTGCTCACAAAAGCTAATGTGATGTAACGCGCCCATGTCTTCAGGGTACAATAAAGGTAAAGAAAAGTAAAATGTGGGAGTGGATTGTGTGTTGCTGAACAGCTGCAAAAGCTGCAATATATCAGAATAAACTATTTTTGTTAAGTCAATGTAGAATTAATCCTGAATCAATAGAATAAAAGTCTTTGAGACAAATCTATGCAGAGCTTTCATTTACAGGTTTTTTCTTCAGCAGAATTACCTTGATTCACGGAAAGGGACGGTTCTTTACCACTGTTAGTTTTGTGATATTTTTCTGTCTTTCAGATGATTAATTAACATTTTTAAGAAGATTGTAAAGGTTTTCTGAATCCAAATGGACTTGCTTCATGCATTTAAATGCAGCAAAAGAAAAGTAGGGGGAGTTATAGTCCTCTTTTTTTTTGCATGTCAACAACATGCAGTTAAAAGTTGGTCTGCAACAAAACTAAGAGGGGCTCAGTGGTGGGAACCTGTCAGCTGATCATTCAAAACATACCATTAGCCAGCTGTCTGACACATATATGTGTGCGTGTCATGTTAGGGCATGAATGAGTTGCCTGTTTTTACGTTACCTCTTCCAGGACCTAAGTATCTTATCCGATCCTTTTGAGCACTGATAACAGGTTAAACATAGACAATGTGAAGTATCCATGATTGAATCTAGCTGTGGGGGGCTTCCTAAAATTTGGGTACAGTGTTAACAGATTCATTTTGAAATCTCAGGATTAATCTGCTTTTCTTTTTCAGTTTGACGATGCAGTTATCTAAATTGTCTGAATTATATCATTAAAGCAGGAGATTCTAGAACACACTTCAAGGTATAAATGAAGAAATGCAAACTAAAAGAGAAAGAAATTCTTACACCGTTCGGTTGGTTTGAACGTATTGTGCAATATATTGTGACGCATGAATAAATCACGGTCACATGGTGACACACCATGGAGTCATTTGACATTTCTCAAAATCTTTGTCATCTCAAATCCTACAAAATCCCCTAAAGACAAACCCCAGTCTCCTTTTCAGATTAAAACTAATGATCTGACTGTTTTTCATGCTTTAATTTAGGGGGTTGTCTGGCTTTTTTCTGCCGCTGTTCCCCGGACCTCCTGGCAGGCTGCTCATGGCTATGGTCTGGAAAATATACTCATGGGATTTTATCTCTTAAAGTGCAATATATGTCCACAGTCTGTAATATATTTACAACAGCCAAAGCTGTGAACAGGATAAAGTACTCTTCCACACTGCATCAATAACTGCCTTACCCTGTGTTCAAGCCAACTTTGCTTTATTTTCTACCTAGACTGGTCAGTATATTTTATTATTCCAAAGCTTTTGGATTTGTGTGCCTGGATTCAATGCTGTATATCTCTCCAAATCCTGACTTCATTCATAGATTTTTTGCAATCTTTTACAGCAATAAGATAAACATCTCTTCAAACAGCAGCATGGTGGTGTGGTGGTTAGCACTGTTGCCTCACAGCAGGATGGTTCTGGGTTCGAGTCCCAGGGGATTGTTTGTCCTTGTGTGTCTCTGTGTGGCCCTGCGATGGACTGGCGGACTGTCCAGGGTGTACCCCACCTCTTGCCCATTGACCACTGGGATAGGCTCCAGTTCTCCCCGTGACCCCATGAGGGAATAAGCGGTAATGATAATGGATGGCTATCTTCAAACACAATCAGATGGATTTTACAACAAATCTGTAGATTCTCTTGAAAACAGAAGTTTTGAGCCTATGTTTGGACCTTCTTTTTGAAATTTGAAGAAAAAAATTATTTAATTTCTTGTTAATCAATGTATATTCAACATTCTCTAGTCCAAGATTGGCTTTGTGAGACAAGGTCTTATAGGTGACGATAGAAGAACAATGACTGATAGAACATGAGACTGATGATAGTAACTTATGGTCCTATTATTCCTTCGATTGAATCCATATTGATAAAGTTTGATGTAGTTCTTTGTGTCAAACACAGTCTCATCTTGGGACATCTCTCTGGCATGGATTTCTTTTTTGGTCCCTCTTTGATGACAGAGCAGCATCAATGTCCAACTCTGTTTCATCTTTCTCTTCAAGTAGCTTATTGTTGACCCACTGGACAAATGTTTTTACTTTATGAAAATCACTGGCCAGTCCTTGCAGATAAGTCTGTGCTGACACAATCATCCGATGAGCTGTCAGGATGCCCACTCCACCTGGATGTGGGTATTGGTGAGGTATCCTGAAAAACTGCTGTGATAATCACCAATAAAGCCATAAGCATCCACCCAAGTAGTTGTTTAGATGTTCTGTTCATCTTGAATGGCTCAAATAGAGTGAAGTATATCAACATTTAAGGGTCCGTTTGGCTTTTCAAAAGCTCCTGATATCTTGGTGAGGTCTTTTGCACACCATCGTGTCTAGAGGGAAGTCTTTGTTTAGGGCCCTTCTCCTTCTCCCAAATCAACATCCTCTGGAAGGATTCTCAGCAATGTTGTTGTGACTGCTAATACAAGGTTGCGGGTGTTTGAAAACATCGCACATAGATTTGATGAGGGGGGCTTCCGAGGGAAGGGTGGTGACGCCTGCATGTTGGAGGGCCCCTCTGTTGAGTTTCCACCACACTGTGTCATATCCAGGTTCATGTTTGCCCTCATCTTACTCCCAACTATGACAAAGGGCTGTCCAGCTGATTACTCACATTTAATCAAAGCTGCAAACCTCTTATGAGCAACATCCGTGACTAGTCATATGACAGCAGAGCGCTGATCAGGGGCTGTGATGTCCCGTGTGGTGTAGATCTGAACAGAGAACATACCAGATTCCTGGAGGTGACATGCCATGGTGATCTTATTCCATGTTGGATGGTTGTAATGATGTTGCTGATGGTAGTTTTGGATGGGAAGTTAACTAGAGAACATGTACCACCTCTGAATCCAGACTGGGGTATTTTTTTTACTCTCTTCTACACAAAGTCCTCATTGTATTTTGAAAGCAACAGTCATTCCTGAGAAGATTCCATGCTCCACTGTGTCATCATTAAGCACGCATGCTACCTCTGACTGTGACCTTCTGTAGCCCAAATCTCTGTTTCCATTCACTTTTACTGCATCTATGATGCACTCCAACTTGAGGCCTCTTGTGCACCTGAACTTTACAAAAAGACATCAGATATCCCACAAGAAGGTTCTCAATTTCACGTTGTGAGGACCTAAGGAAATATACTTCAACAAACTGTCTCTGTGGATTTCTCCTCTCATGTTCTGCCAATCTCTTATGTATGTGTCTGTTCTGTCATGCTAGTGATGAACAAACGGCTATCTGTAGGCTTAGCAAGGGCCCTACAAAGAAAGCAGAAGAGTGCTTGTCTGCTTCCACTGTTTGAAAGACATTTTCTATTTGCGCCATCTTTGCTCTCTGCTGAGGATTTAGTCTGGTTTGGTGAAAATTGAATTTCTTTAGCAAGTAAGACATAATGTGCATGTGATTAATTAAGGTATTTAATACTAATACCAGTTCTCTGGTCACTAATGCTCTTAGCCTGTGTAAACTTCAATGTAATAGATATTGTGTGTTCAGTTGTCATGCCGTTGTAAACCTTTGTGACTTCAGTTTGAACAATGGTAGTATAATTTGATGAGAAAAAAAACATACAATATGTTCAATAAAAGATAGGAATTACTAGGAATTACTGCTTCCTTCCCATATTGCACTGGTATACTATCACCTTTGCATTTTCCTCTAAGCTGAAGTGGTTTAAAGCAAAATTGGCTGTTTTTTTGCATGATTGTATGGTGGTCAGTAACATCACCCCAGATAAACGGTTTGAATCACAGCTTTCTGTGGAGTCTGCATGTTCTCCCTGTGAACGTGTGGGCTCTTTCCAGGGACTCCACCTTCATCCAGCCATCCAAAGTGTTCATATTAGGCTTCCAGATTGATCCATATGAGTGTGTGAGTTTTAACCCTCGGGGATAATAAAGATTCCTTGAATCCGTAAATCCCTTGGTTATGTGTCTCGTTGGTGTCTATGTGGGTCTGTGATTGACTGGTAACCTGTGCACCCCTCTTGCTCAGTGACAGCAGAATAGGCTAGAGCTCCATAATTCTCTGAGTGCGATGCTTGAATGTGCACATTTAACTTGGTTGTAATTTAAAACAACCCAAGTCAGGTATAAAAAGTAATTTACTTGATTTTGTCCAGAATTGCATCCCATCCAAAACTAATCTTTTTTAACCGGGACAAAGAGAGTTCGACAGCCATGCCGGCTGATCAAAATAAAATAGTCTCTCTCAAACTGGGTCATGTTTTATAAGCAGGAACACTTCTTCACAAATGGTGCAGCACAAACAAGTGCTTAACTTCTCAACTCTTTGTACTCTCAGGGCATGAATCTATGTGGACGTTTGGGCAGAAAGATCAGACATTCATGCAGCGTGGGAACACACAGCTGGATATCTGACTTTGTGAAGGAAACATTGTTGGTTTTCTGAAGAAGACATTAACTGTGATTTAGGCAAGATAATGTCCATTTTTAAAGCTAAACGCTGAAGAATTTGTATTTTTTTGTACATGAAATAATGGTAACTTTAATGCGTAGCTATGGTCATTTTCAGGGTACATAATAGGGTCAAAAACATGGTAACACTGACGGTTGCAACATAGTTAAAGGTAACCCA